ATTGCCACTGGATTTGACACATGAAAGTTATTGGTGACCTTGACAAGGACAGTTTCTATGAAGTAGTGTAGTCAAAGCCTGATTGAAGTGGATTAAGAAGAGATTGTAGGAAAGCTGGTGGAGTCAATATCTATAAACAATTCTTTCAAGAAGTTTTACTCTAAGAAATAGGGCAGTAGCTGGAGGGAGATACGGGCTCAAGAGAGATTTTTGGGTGTGTGTGTGTGTGTGTGTGTGTGTGTGTGTGTGTCTAGAGAAAAGATGCTAGAGTATATTTATATACTAATGAGAATGATCTGGTAGAAAGGGGAAACTGATTATGATTATGCAAGAGAAAACATATAGAAAAGGCCTTGAGAGGTAGAAGGGTTAGGATACATAGTATAAGTAGTAGGGAGGTTAGTTTTTGATAGGAGGAGACATAGAACTGCAATGGGAGGGAAGGCAGAATTGCAGATAGGTTGGTGGATTTGTGGTGGAAAGGTAAAGATGTTACTATGTGAGTAGTTCTATTTACTATTGCCATAAAAGTCATTACGCAGGGTGGGAAGGGAGTATAGATTGGAGGAGAGAGGTATAAGTAGTTGGAAAGGGGAAAAGTGAACTATATGTATATATATATGTATATATATATATGTGTATGTGTGTGTATATATATCACACACACACACATACATAAACACATAGTCAGTGGGTATTTGTGTATATGTTGTACACCATGGGAAAAAGACATATTGTATGAAATATTTTAAAGCCATTCTTACTGAATATTTTTGAGACATCTTACTTGAAGGACCTGAAACAATTCTGTGCTTTCTGAGAACTCTAAAAACGGTGTTCTCTTTTCCATAATGTAGAGATTAAGTGAGGACTTTTCAATGCCATAGATACGTCTCATGTTTTGTTATTTATTTTGGTCTATTACAGAGTAAAAGGCAGAAATATTTTGTAGCTATTCTAATTCAAAGCCTATGAAAATTATTAAAATTAGTTTAATCTTGAAAAATGTGTATTATATATTCAAGCTGGTAGTTTTCTCAAAATACTATTTTGGAGGGTTTTAAGCCCCCATCTGAATTTAAAAAAAAAAAAAAAGGCAAGCAGGCTCTAATCATTTAGTAAAATAATACTTTTGTTTTGTTTTCATATGAAAAACATCAGTACCATCTGTCATTTAGGAGAAACACATGGGCAATATGGTTGTTTTGTTCATTGTGCCCTCCCTATCCTACTGGAAGGATGTGATCTTTTAATTGTGCTTGGATCTTTATTTCTGGATAGGATGTATGTAATTCAATGTGTTGAATTTATAGGTGCATATGGATTTGATGTAAAATTAGATTGTGAATAATGGAATAAGATTGCTCTCCATTTTTTTGCTGTTTTAGCATAGACAAAAATAGAAAGATGTATGTGTACATATGAATATGTATTTGATTAAACACTTAATATTTAAATGGCCATGTCAAATATTAAGTGGTAGATGTTGACAGTTGCAGTATATTCAAAATAAAAGTTATAAAAATCTTTGTAGCACAAATACTAAAAAGTTTAATTTAATACTTAGTAGTACATTTATATAAAATGCCTAGATAACATCTGTCTAGGTTGAGGCATTTAATCCCTCATAGAGCAATATTTGACTAATGAAAAACTGCAGCTGAAAACATTTCTCTTTCCTGTAAGTATGAATATGGTTTTTAAAATGTATCTCTCTGTAACTTGTCATAAAGTTAATTATCATTAATTATGGATTTAGCAGTGTACCCATCTACTCTTACAAAAGGGGGAAAAGATCTGTGAGAATAAGGAAGTACAGCATGGTATTTTTTTTTTCTTTGTTATTACTGTTTCTCTTTGGTATCTATTTAGAGCTTCAATATATGCCTTCCGCTCAGGTTCCTTACACAGACTATGTTCTTTCTCTTTTCTGGTTGTATAACAAGATTGTAGAGAGATAAACACAGTAAAAGGGTGTTAAAAATTGAACTGCAATCCTACCTATTATCTACTTTGCTACAGCAGTGAAGTAGTCCAGACTTACTTAAAGGTGGTATTGTTTTCATCTTATAAAAATCTACTGTAATCTTATGATGTTCCATGTAAATTTTCATGTGCTGGCATGCTTACAAGTAATAGTGTTATAGGATGCTCAGCTCTCAATGAGGGATTGTTTGTGGTTAATTGCATTACATATGTCATCTATCTATTTGCTGAAAGAATATGGTGTTTAGCAAAACTACCTGCTGAGCAACATAATAAGATTTTTGTACAAAGTACAAATTACTAATTATTGTATTTTATTTTTCTATGAGTTCCTAAGAGGCATTACCAGGGTCTTACAGATGGAGTAAGCCTGTTTATTAAAATATCTTAGCAAATAAAAGTTACAGTTCTGGTGGTTAAATCCGTGACTTTTTTGTACTGTTGTCTTGATGAATATTTAATATAATTTATTTTTCAGTCTCTTCAATCTAGACGTTCTTTAGATACATAATTCTGGATGCAAAATCATAGCTGTAATTTTTCAAAATAATGTCATTACCTTCAAGGCATAAAATCACATAAATCACTATACACAGATACACATTTCTGTAGTGATTTCATATTGGCAAACTATTTTGTGAGCTTAAGTAAATTAAATTGTTCGTTGCAGAGGTAATACTGTACATAAATTGCAGATGACCAAAAGATATGCATAATGTCCAACTATTCAAATAGCTTTACACCATCAGCATTCATTCCAAAAATGTGCAATAAATTATGAATCAGGGATTTTCTATATTCTTTTAAAAGTTGCTGGTAAGAAAATACATAAAAAATTCCTCAATTAATCAGAACAGTGTTGTAGTCATCATATCTTAGACTTAACTTTTATAATTCTTCTACTACAGTTCCAGAAGCCAGTATGAAATTAAAACTGATTATAAAATACCTGAAACTTCCTTCTCTTATACGGATATCTTAAGTAGCCTTCAGAAAATCACTGCCATTTTTAAAGCTTCTCACCCTCATGATAAAATGAAGACAGACTAACTTATTAAATCAAGTGGAGTAATTTTTATGCTGAGCCTGTCAGTATTCAAAAGGAGTTTCAGTTGGCAAAGTACCAAAACACAGATTCAACCATATGAAATATTTACATTTTTAAACTTTTACATATTTTTAAAACTGGCATTTTCTGTTATTGAGTACACTTTGGGTTTCACTATTTAATCTCTAATGATAAGCCATCGCATCAACTACACTGATCTAAGATGATTTACTTAGCTATTTTTTTGTCAAAGAATTATGTATATGCCTAAATTTACTGAAAAGTTGGATATCCAATCTCCCTGTCATATTTCCAGTTTTCACCAAATGTTTTCTGCTAAGCAAAAATAGAACTCAACCTAAGGGGAGAAAATACCAACTCCAAACAGGAAAAAATAAATCTGTGCACTAACGTTTTCTGAAACATAAGATTTCTGCTTAACTCTAAGAAAAAAAAGTCACATTCAGGCTATAAGGAAATTAGCTTCCATGTCTCATCAAAATGAATCACAAATGCCCAGACACAAAGAAAAGGAATCAACACCTCCCTGTAAATGCATTTACAGTCAGAAGTTAACAAACCAGAATATTTAGGAATTGGGTCAAATCCTACCCATATACTAAAAATTTCAGGACAAACTAAGACAGGAACCTACTAACTGAACACCTACTATGTGCCAAAAAATATTCTTTTTAAATCTACTCAGTCCTCAAAACTACCAGATGAGATAAATAGGTATTTTTTGAAAGTGAGGAAGCCAAAGCATGGAGAAGGGTTAATTGGCCTAAGGCCACACAGTTAGGAAGAATATCACTTTTTTTTTCAAGGACATCTTAAATATTTTGGAATATGTAACTATTGAGGTTTTGTTATTAGTTTTAACCTTTCAAGAGTTAAGTTTACTCTTAACTCTTTTTCATTCTAAAACAACCACATTTGCAAATTTGGAAACCTAACAACAAAAATAGCACCTATAATCATCCACATAAACACCCCCATCATAATTTTATATAATTCTTCTAGTCTCTTTTTTCACCCTCCTAGTTCGCTTAATAGGTAAAATTAATAGGCCAAAGATCAGGAAGTGTGGTTAACATAACCCTAGCTAATGTGGGGGTGGGGGGGCGGGGGGGGGTTGGGTGTTCCATACTCATGGCCAAAAAGTAAACTATAGACAAAAACTTAAGAGTAAGGGTTTCATCTGTGAAACCCCCCATGGTGTAGGGGGTGGGGTGGGAGGGGTGAGGCTAGGTAGGTTGAAACATCTGTAAAATTACTCCAACTGTAGCCTTGTCCTTTGGAAAGCGTGGTTATAAAAATGTGGAGAAATGAGTATATCTAAATGTTTTCAACTGGAGTTACCACTGTTGCTATAAAAACCCAGTGCAATTTTTTTTTAAAAAAGGTGGTTAACGTTAAGCATTCAGACTATTCCTTTCCTGACCACCTACCGATTTGATTCTGGGGACAATAATCTAATCACAGATTATGGCTAGCGGAAATCTCTTCAGGAGATCAGACAGCTAAGAAGCCAGAGTACAGGCATACTTCTTCTGCCGAGTCACGCTTCCGACTTTTCACACCAGTTTTATCTCCACTCCCTACCTACATTAACAGTTTTACTTCAGGACTCCAGGGTTTGAGGCCTATAAGAGCCCGGAAAGCCTCCGTGCCAGAGGCAGCGGAGGAACTCTGGCGCATGCCTTGCCAGAGAGAGCACAGCTGTGTTCTTCGGCCGTTGCCACCACGCTGCGCGCGTGCCCGGTAAAGACGCAGAGGTTCCACGTCCCTCTGGGATCCACACGGAGCGCCCGCCCCGGCGTGCTGGAATTGCTGATTCTCTCCTGAGAGGCTGGGAGAGACCCAGGCGAAAAGAAGCGCACGCGCAAACGCTACGCCAAGCATTTCCCACCAGGCTGTGCGCACGCCTACAACTCCCATCATGCTCCATCGGGGACAACACTGCTCCTCGCCCGAAGGAGGCCGTTCACCCCGCCAGCTGTCTTCACACCTTTAATACTCCTCGGTGTGCCTCTGGCATTCTCAGGAGCTCTTCAATCCCATAAACAAGAGCACCAAGGCTACTTCCTAAGACCTCCAAGGAGGCGTGGCTTCGGAACCGGAAGAACGTCCGGTTGCCAAGGGAACGCCACGCGCCTAGGCGCCTGCCCAGCCACTGATGCTCCGGCTGAGGCACAGGCAACCAGTTCACCCAACTTGTAGAAGCGGCTTTGCTCAGGAGCCGGGATTCCTACAATGGAGGCATAGAGACTAAGGCTGAGAGACGCCCGATATTTATTCCAGAGACGTATACGAGCGAGGGAGTGGTTCATTCCTGTTCCTCTTCAGCCCCTGGGCCCGCAGGACTAACTTCAAAGACCAGGTATCTCCGCCACCCCCCCAATGTTTGTAGCCAGCGCCGCCGCCACCAACACCACTCCCGTCGCGTTTTAGAATTGCTCTTTATTCTTTCTTATGGTTTTTACTCCGTACCGTTGTTTCTAAAGTGTAAGAGGTGGAAAAGGAGAGGATTTATGCGGTGAGTACTAGGGGTCCCAGAAGACTCATGGTTTGGGCGAGTTTGTTCGGTTGGTTTTATCATCGCCCAGTTTTGTGTTTTTATTTGGTGTGTGGGAAATGTAATTAAAATTTCATCCTCAGAAACTGAAAGCCGAATAAAAATGTTTGAAGTACTAAAAGTGGGCTATAATTCACTCTAGGAACTTTTTTTTTTTTTTACTTTTACAAAGTACCATTCATGGTGTTTTTCTCTGCCCCACCACTATCTGCGGCTTACTACCTTCCAAGCTGTTTGCTGTGTATAATATCCTAATTCCTCAAGACTTTTCTGGCAACAAGTAATCCTTTAGAAAGCAGTTTCTCAGATAACAATCAAGAGAGTTTGATTGGCTGATGCGCAGTAAAACAGTAAGATAAGAAACTGGAAATGTAGATCAGAGCCAGATTGGATCTTAAAATTAGTTACGCGTGAACGTTTGGACTTTATTCTGAAAGCCAGCAGTTCTCAATAGGAACTGTACATCAGAAACACTGAGTAGCTTTTTAAAATACTGATCCCCTAATCCCATCACCAGAAATACTAATTTAGTAGTTAATTCCAGTGTGCAGCCAAAGTTGAGCATCATGGCTTTAGGCATAGGGAGCTACAGAAAACTTTATCTCCCAGTGTGCTGTGCACATAGGGCATGGTAAATAAATGAGTGGCTTAAATTGTTATCTTTCCTTCTTTCATACATGGAAAAAGTAAACTTACAGAAATGTATGATTACTAAGAAATAGAAACATGCATGTATAAGACTATAATCACATCTTTTAGAACAACTGACTTCTACATTGTATGTCCCAAAATATTTCATTAACCAGCATTAGTTTTACTAATCCATGAAAAAGGGTTGGAAAATCACAATCCAGGGTTCTTTGGAAAATGAATATTCAAGTATCTAGTTTTTGGACAATCAATGCTTTATAGTGGATGCCCAGGGGATGATGAGGTGAGAAGTCGTCATATTTTTTTAAAATCTGTTCATTGTATGGAAAATGGAAAACAAGATATTGTCTTTTTTTAATTAACATATAATGTATTTTGCTTCAGGGGTAAGATACTGTCTTTTTATCAATATGTTTAGTACAATAAATAAGAAAGTGAGAATAGCTAATCTACTTTGAATTAAAATGGTCTGTGTGAATTGTTTCATGATATCAGAAGGCTAACTTAAAGTAGATTGTACAAATATTTCTTAAGCTGAGATTTAAAGGAATGGATTGAGTGAGATTTGAGTCTCCAACACAAGGAGAAGAGTGGCACAAATGGAGTACCAGAAATCAAACCCAATCCTTGGATAAGACAACTGTGGCTCTCTTATAGGCCCCATGCTCTGGTGGGGCACTGTGCTTGCTCCTTTCTGCACATCATTGAAATCTGGTTTTGAAATTTCTGTCAGTATGATCCCTCAAGGGGCCTAAGCAAAATCAATGATGCAGCCTCCTTTTGATGCAGTTGTCTTGGAAACCTCATCATTTAAGTTGCTGCATCTTCACATTCTTCAAGGTATGGCCTTGCCTAGGATAGTGTGGGATAAAAAATACTTGAGGAGTTGGGGGATGACAGGCTCCTGGAACTTTAGATGGAGATGAGAATAAATCAATTAAATGAGATGAGTATTTAGAGAACTTTGAAAAAGATGGTTAGGAGAGTAATAGGAAATATTTGGGACTTAGGCAGACTGTAGTTACTCCTATAGCAGTCCCTGCAGCAGTTGAGGGCTGGCAACAGGGATATCTCTCTTCTCCCATGATAACGTTTTAGGGAGTTGATGGACCCAAGGGGAGTACCTTTGGAAAGTTTCATTTGGAAAGTTCATAGCAGGTTATGTGCAAGCAATATGTGTAGCAATATATTATATATTAAAGTAAATATATCTGTTAGTATTCTTTGTTCCTCTTGATAGAAAATGCAACCTAAACTGGATATAATCAAGCAAACAGACAAAAACAGTGAATTTAATAGTTATTACTTCAGATTATTGGATAATACAACAATGGGGCTGGCTTCAGAAAAAGATTTAGCCAGTGGCTCAAATAGTGTAGCCAAAAATCTCAGTTTTTCTCATTTCTGACCTGCCTTCTACTTTCTGAGCTTCAGCATTAGACTACGTGAACTCCTTTGCCCATACATTGTTCCAGATTTCTAGAAAGGCTGCAGATATTTTCAAGATCACAAGTGGCAGACTCTACACAATACTGAGTTTAACCACATTTTCTTCTTAAATATTATAATTTACCAGAAGAAATATACAGCTATTTCAAGGGCATTGTTCTTTGTGTTGCCTAGGGTTATAAGCTGCCAATCTGCCTTTCAGATAAGGCTCCTCTGTGCTAATCAGCTTAAACTTTGTTTCTTAAATACAAAGCTACATTGACATGGTTTTTATGATTGTGTCTTTATTAATTTTTTTGATGCACATGCTTATATTTTCCATACCTAAGTTGCCTGTAATGAATGATATATCTTTTTTACTTTCTAACTTGCAGCTGGTTTGTAAATATTTGAATCACATTATGGGATTGCTAGACAGACTTTCAGGCTTGCTTGGCCTAAAGAAGAAGGAGGTTCATGTTTTGTGCCTTGGTCTGGATAATAGTGGCAAAACAACAATCATTAACAAACTTAAACCTTCAAATGTAAGTATCTTTGTTAGATGCTTTATGTATTTTCTACTAGAGGAAGTTAACATGCAAAATTATTTTGTTTGCCATCATTTCTTCATATAATCATGTTATGAAATCCTTTTAACTTTGTAGTATCTTAAAGTAATAAATGTCAGTCAGGCATAATTTGTAGTGTATTTTATGTAGATATATAGGTGAGTCTTGATTATTTAAGCAGGAATATTTTCCAACTGTCTTTTTTTCTTAAAAGATCCTCATAAATTTGCCAAGTTTACTTTTAGGTATCATTGCCTTCTTTTTGGCTCCCTCGTTACAAGAGAAACAAAGGGAATGGTGAATCATTTTTATGGGTTCAATGGATAATTAAGACAGTTTCCCAGGAGTGTGGTATGCATATCAGTAGTAGTAAGCAGAATGACTTTAAGTCGTTTAAGTAATAGTATATGAACATATAATTTTAATAACTGGAAAATATAAAGCTAGCACATTTAACACATGGTACATAAAAGTTAGGTTTTGCAACATATAAAGAAAATCCACATAACAGTGAACTAAATAAGATAGGAGCTTCTTTTTCTGTCATCTAAATAAGTCCAGAGGAGGTATTCCAGGGCTGGTGGTGCAGCTATGTGGTCACTCATGAGACATCCAGGCATCTTCCATCTTCCTGTTCTGCTATTCTGAGTGCCTGGTTTTCATCTTCAAGATCTCCACATGGTCACCTTGGTTAACTGTATTCTAAGTCACAGAGAGGAGAAAAGAACAAGGCAAAAGAATAGGCCCTCTTGCTAAATAAGCTCTCTTTAAAGAACTTACCCAGAAGCATCAAATAATGATTCCTTTCTTATATCTCATTGGCTACCCCTATCTGTAAATGAAGCTGGATTTTTTTTTTTTTTTTTTGGTAGGGCATACTGCTGCTACCAAAAATAATAGGAGTCCTGTAAGTATGGAAGAAGAGGAAAATGGATATTGGATAGACAACTAACGTTTGCACTTGTAAATACACTTATTTAGGTAAAAGCCATTAGTGAATTAATGAAAACTGTAGAGTGAAAGAATAATACAGATATATGCCCTGCATAAAGATAGGGCAAAAACTAAGAAGCTGTTACTCTTAATGACTAAATGGCTAGAGAATGGGAAATATTGCTCCTAAATATGGTAGTTGCCTCCAATGTTTCAGGTTGGGCTGAATAAGCAGACTTACTACTCTGTTTTCTTTTGTAGCAGCTTCAGTTTTACTTCTGTTTAGTTTGAGATTACTTTGGAATACAAAAAAAAAGAACAAAACACATTATTTCTTTTTTTCTGGTCATTATTCCGTTCTACACAGATGAGTTTACCACATAAGAACAACTAACTCCTGGTGTATTTTCAGGTGGGAGTTAGTGTGAGGTGGCCAGGATAAAAAACTGAAGATGGATTTGGAAGGCAGTTTAGGTGTTTTAAGGAGTTTCCGAGCTGAGGTATACATTCTGAAGTCAGGCAAAGATAAAAAATATCAGCTTTATTTAATTTTGGAGGGCAAGGTTAGGTCTGTTCAGAGGAGTTGCTAACATTCTATTGTATTGAGATTGGCCTCCCAAAATTTCGGGGTTTCCTCCTCCGGGAAAGTTCCTACTCTTCTAGGTTCATTGCATGGCTAAGATCAGATGAGAGTGCATTCTTGTGATAGGCATGTGGCACTCAAATGAGAGAGAGAGTAGAGAGAGGCAGAACCAAGAATGCTCAGTTCTGTTTCACAAACTGAGCAGTCAAAGGAGTAATTCTTTAGCCATAGAGAGGAATAAATTGGAGAAGGTGAGAGAGAGAAATATGGAGTATCATTTAATGAAGATTTCTCTATATGTGAAGATAGAGAAAAAAGGTTAAAAAAAGCCCACATACATTAGAATCTATCTCCTGACCTAGGTGATTACAAGAAGTTTCTTTATCAGTCCTTAAGAGGGAGATAAAGCATCCTACCCAGTTGGATGGGGTCCAGAATTGATCTTAGAGAATAGTGAGTATATGTTAAAAGTAGAACCATACCTAATTGTGCCTTGGCCCATAATGAGTACTGTGGATCAGCTATCAGCAGATAGGCTGGGCTAATGCTTAAGAAACTCAGTGACTGGTGACCTACACTTCTGTAGGTAAAGCTATCAGCAGTAAGGAAGATTATAAGGAAGTTTTTTTAGGTAAGGGCCTATTCTGTCAGAGGTGTTTACATTTTTCTCCACCTCAGGTAATTGCCTCAAATGTAAAAAATTTTCTTTTTTTGTAAAACTAGTCTTGGGACACCTAGGTGGCTGTGGGTTAAGTGTCTTGATGCTTGATTTCAGCTCAGATCATGATTTCAGGGTCATGGGATTGAGCCCAGTGTCAGGCTCTGAGCTCAGCATGGAGTCTGCTCCAGATTCTCTCCCTCTCCCTCTGCCCCTCCTCTCTCTCTCTTTTTCTCCCTCTCTCAAATAAGTAAATAAAATCTTAAAAAAAGCTAGTCTCAAATAAGTACAAAATAACTGAAACCAGAGCCACTATTAATAGCCACAAAATGGGGGCGCCTTGGTGGCTCAGTCAGTTAAGCATCCAACTCTTGATTTCAGCTCAGGTCATGATCTCAGGGTCCTGAAATTGAGCTCCAAGTCAGGCTCCGTGCTGAGTGTGGAGCCTGCTTGGGATTCCCTCTCTCCCTCTCCCTCTGCCCCTCCCTTACCTCTCCTTCTCTTAAAAAATATATATATAGCCACAAAATGGACCAGTCCACCAATGTCTGCTGTACTCAAATTGGCAGAAATAAGATTCAAAAAACAAAAAAGAATTTACAGTCTCCGTCCATCATTCCCAACAGTATAGTGATCTTCCAAGACATGGTTATTACCATAGGAATAATCTTTGATATGAATGGGAACAGTTTTCTTCCTTGAACAAGGATGTATTTTTATTTTTTAACCTACTTAGGGATTTTTTTTTTTCATAATTTGTTCTGTCAGTTCTAGGAATTTGGGGCAGAAAGAGGAGACATCATGTGCTCCATCTGTGATCTTAAAATACCCTATAACCCCCATTTCAGACTGGTCTTGTGACATATTAACCCTGTTTAATACCACATTAGTCAGGGAAAGCCCCCAGGAAAACCTGGGTACACAGCCAATAACTAAGGTTTTTTAATTAACCTTCCAGTGCTTTCCAACATCTCTGTCTCTGTTATCTCTGGTGAATTATGGAACTAGCCTAGACTTGCTATAGGGCTATTTTAAGGGGATCACCTACCTCCTGACACCACTTCCTGAGATTTAATCTTTAGGCAACTATCCTGTCTCCACAGAACAATTGATCTCTAGATCCTGAGAACACAGTAAGTTGCTCTGCTTTTTTTTTTTTTTTTTTTAATTTGGTGCTTATAGCCAAAAGACCACTTGAAATAGAATTTCTTAAAGACCTCAAAACCTCTGTCACACAGATATAGATAAAACACTTGTTTCCTACATGTATCTGAACCAAAGAAATCTTTTGTGAGTTTACATCCACTATTAGAAACATTATTTTTAATGAATTAAGTGAATTATGGAAATCTACAATGCAAAAAATTTGCAAATCTCATTTTATAGTTATGTCTCTTATTTTTTGTGGATAAAATCAGTTTCTAGATAACTAGATACTTCTGGACACAAACTGGCTTTAAGCTATCCTAATGCTTATGTATTGTCAATGTATTGAGGATGCTGGTGTTTTTTTAAACTGATGCATAATGGTGGGGAGGCATTTTAACCTGATCACTCAAGAATCTGGTCTTAAGTGTATTTTCTTAGAGATGCACCCTATAAGTACCTTTTTTTCCCCAATTTCCATTACCCCCCCTTTGCCAACGGAAATCCTATCATACTACCACATCATCCAGATTATGTTATTTAAAACAATCTGAAATTATCTTGGCATATTTAATTGGTAGCTTATTTATTAAATTTTTCCTCATTATAAATTTAAATTCCTTAAGAGCATAGATCTGATATTGTTCAACCCTAAATCCTAAATACTTATAATATTGCCTGGTGTATAAGTGTATTTTGGGATGGACTGATGGGGACTTTTTTAATTTTCATTTTTGGGCAGGGAATGATGATTGATGGCACCAAAGATTTAATTTTTAGCAGACTTAATGAAACTAACCAAATAGGATCTTCTCGTAGAAATCCTGTTCTATTCTTGTTGATGTTAGTCTATCCTTGGGCTATCTCAGATAGGCTATTCCATTTAGGTAATAATTCCTACACTCTTTGCTTGATTTGTACCATTCCCTGACCAATTCAGAGAATGACCAAATGTATTTGTTCCTAGATAGAGCAGAGAAGATTAATGTTGGAGATAATCTTTGGAATTCTTTAGAGGAAAATGAATCCCACTTGAAGTGGAAGCACGAGCTCACATATCTTGTTTTATCCTGATTAATTTGTGGAGTTTCTTCTTTCTAATTAGGTTCCATTAGAACTTTAGAAGTAACAGGAAGAGGGGTGCCTGGGTGGCTCAGTCGGTTAAGTGTCTGCCTCTTAATTTCGGCTCAGTCATGATCTTGGGGTTGTGAGATCAAGCCCAGTGCTTGCACTGGGCTTGGAGTTTGAGATTCTCTCTCCCTCTCCCTCTGCCCCTCCTCCCACTCCTATGTACTCTCTCTCTCTCCCTCCTTAAAAAAAAAAGAAGTGATGGGAAGAAAAGAAAGTTGATTAATTTTATCCTTAAGTAAAACAGCAAGATATAAAAGAGAAGCTTCGGAAACAAAAAGAGTTTGTGAAGAAGCTGGGTGATTGCAGAGAGGCTAGGCAAATGTTCTAATTACAGTTCAGTGAAGACAGGCCTACTATTTTGAGGTATATTTTCTGAGATTTCTTTAAACATTTAATTTCCTCACTTTTTTATTACTGGTATTTTTTCCTAATAGTAATAGCTGATGATTTTATCATGATTGTGATCAAAATAAGAAATCAAAACCGTGGAATATTTTGGGACAACAAAAGTTAGGAAACTCTTTATTCCAGTAGTTTTCACTACTACATTACTACTATGGTGACTAAGCTCCAGTGACTTTTCAGCTTCTGTCTTTTCATTTGAATTTTAAATTTCCAGAAGTGGACTACCAAATTGAACATAATGGTATGGGGCAACAATTTACCTTATACCCCGGTTTTCACACAAAAGCAACATGATGAACTAAAGGTTTTTTGTTTTTGTTTTTGTTTTTTTAAGTTACACTGCGGCTGTATGGAGATAATTGGAAAGAGACTGAAATCAACGAAAGTATAGTACCTCTGAAACAAATAATACATTATATGTCAAAAAAAAAAAAGAAGATAGCAGAAAGGGAAAAATGAAGGAGGGGAAATCGGAGGGGGAGGCGAACCATGAGAGACTGGACTCTGAGAAACAAACTGAGGGTTCTAGAGGGGAGGGGGGTGGGGGGATGGGTTAGCTTGGTGATGGGTATTGAAGAGGGTGCTATGGAGCACTGGGTGTTATATGCAGTGACTCATGGAACGCTACATCAAAAACTAACGATGTAATGTATGGTGATTAACATAACATAATAAAATTAAAAAAAAAAAAAAGAAAAAGATAAGAGAGACCGGAATCGTGGTCAGTTAAGTGGCTGTTATAAGAGAAGAATGGAAATCAATAAAAAATTTATTACAAAGAGATCAAATCACATTCTCAATACTAATAGGTGCAAAACCAAAGCAAATGACAGCACTGAGATATTTCTTCTGTATATTGATGCTAAAACAGAAATGCCAGAGTGAATACTTGAATTTTATATAAGTGTTTAAAATTCATAAAATTTAAAACATTTAACACTAAAAAAAAAGGAGTATACTTATGATATTTGTTGAGTAGTTGCTGAGTATTTCCTATGGACCAGGCACTGTGTTGAGTATTTTGCATTCATTAACTCATTTAATTCTCATGATAACTTTACAAGTTAAAGATAATAATAGATTTCACATTTGAGAAAACTAAGGTTTGGAGAAGTTGAGTAACTAGTCTAAGATAGCACATTAACAGTTAGGAGTAATTAGAAGGCTTTTGCACTACATCAAAGCAAGAAATGATAAGGGCCTGAACTAAGTTAGTGAGATAGGACCAGTTTGAGAATGGTTATATAAAAAATGTAAGAAAACGAGGAGTCAGGAATAACTTGGGTTATCAGAAAGTAGATGGTGTTTTTTATTCAAACGGAAGAATGGTTTTGATGGTGAAAGTGTTAGGAGGCATTTGATGACTTGTCAGCTTAGGGCATTTTAATTGTCTGTGGGACTTGCTAACAGGTCTCCTGCTGTACTCTTGCCCCCTTGTAATCTATTCACACAGAATTCCCTACCATGGCCTTCAAGGCTCTACAGCTCTTTGTTACATATAGCCCTCTGCCTTACTCAGTACATTTTAGACATATAGGCCTTATACTTTTCCTGAGTAGCAAGGCCCTGCTTGCACTGGGGTCATTGCACTGGCTAATTCTTTTGACTGGAATGTTTTTGCCAAGATCTAGTCATAGCTTTTCTCCTTTTTGATATTCACTCTTGGGTCCGATGTTACCTCCTCAGAGAGGCTTTTTCTCAGCATCCTTTTTCCATGCCCCATACCAACCCTCTCCCCCGTTGCCTCCCACCTTCAAATCACCTTTCACTGCACTTATCACTGCCTGAAATTGTGTTCACTTGTAGTTTACTTGGTATTGCTGTTTACTTTCTCTAGGTAGTAAGCTCCATGAAAGCAGCGACCATATATATTCACCATCTAGACATGAGAACAGTCCCCAGTAGCATATATAAACTCAGTAAGTATGTGGTGAAAGATTATAAAGTCCTGTATGTGAACTCAGAATAACTCATCAAACCACTTTACAGCTATGGTAACTTGCAGCAAGCCACAAAATGTGAATTAAGGTATACACATTATACAGATTCATAATTAGTAAACCTTAAACTTCTGTAAAGAATTCACACACAGTGATTCCACTGCAAAAATTATAATTTTGTTTAATTCTGTCATCTCCTTAGTGACAAATTTTAGAATTGGAAATGTGGATGCTTTTTTTTTAACCTAAGGAAAAATTCATCTTTGGTAATTGCAGATTTCTCAATTTGTCTTTTCTCTTGAAGGCTCAATCACAAGATATAGTTCCAACCATAGGATTCAGCATAGAGAAATTCAAATCATCCAGGTAATTCATTTTATTATACTTGTGACTAAGAAGTTGTGGGTGAAAAGTGTTAATATCAGATCTACCTAGTCATTCCTTCTACTCTTAGAAAAATAAATTTGTTGTTTCAGAAGTCCATAGATGGTAAACTATTTGTACCACTACCTCTGGATTGTTTTTCAGAATTTAGACTTTAGACAAATTCTGATAATCTTACTGGAAGGAAAACATCTTTTTTTATGTTATTCATTACAAAATCATATTTATATTAAAAAATTTATTTTATGGGACTTGTACTTGAAAATTGGCTCAAGTTGAACATTGTATATTCAAGGGTGGTTTCTTTGAAAACAATTTAAATTTTTAAGTAAAAGTGACACCTTAAGTTAGTATCTTATAATGTAGTCATGGTTTGTTTTGTTTTGGTGTTTGGTTTTGTTTTGCTTTGTTTTCTGTAGTTTGTCTTTTACAGTGTTTGACATGTCAGGTCAAGGAAGATACAGAAATCTCTGGGAACACTATTATAAGTAAGTATGTTTATAAATGTTGGTTAACTATTATTTTATTTATAATTATATTTTAATATATTATATTTTAATAATAATGATTAACAAATAAATCCAAAGGATTATGTGGGCTAGGTTGCAGTATTTATTTTTCATATAATTTAAGCACATTTTCTAATGAAAAAATGAAAATGTTTTCTGATGAAAAAGTATAATCATACTTCATATTATTTCTCAAATGCTTCAGGTCCTCCATGACCTTGGATCTTTGCATATGCTTTTCTCTCTGTTTTTAATGCCCTGTTCTATTTAGTTGCAGTTTAAAGTTAATATAGTCGTGCTCTAAGGTTAACTCAAAAGTCACCTCCTCTGCCAGATTTCACCATTCTTGCCCAGTTATTCTGCCCCCAGTGTTCACACAGTACTTTACCATACTTGTTATGTCTTAAAGTCATGCACCATAGCTGCCTCTCTAATGAGGGTATGAACTGCTCAAGAGCGAGGATTATTTCTTATTTAGGTTATTTCTTCAAGGCCAAGTATGATGCTAGAGATACAGATCAGTAAGTATTATTGAATAAATTTAGTTAAAATAATAGTACTAATTTAAACAGTTGATCCATTTGTTTTACAAGCAATTCTAAACAAGATATTTTTCAGCATATGCAAATAAAGTGCTCACTAATTACTTCAGATTAAGAACTGTCAAGTTACTAGAACCCAAATTATTATGCCATCTCAGGACTTGCATGTGGTAGTAAAATGAATTCATTAACTGTTCATATTGCTAGGACTCCTTCCTGTAAAAGCAATGTAACTTACTTTTGGAGTCTGAAACTTATAACCAGTATCCCTTGACTAAATGCCCTTTTGTCATTATGAACTCTTGCCTTGGAATGATTATGAGATGGCTGCCCAGATCAGATTTTAATTTTTATTCTTTCCTGCTAATGTGGGAACAAACATTGTGTTCCTCAGATATGAGCCAAAGGAGATTTTTTTCAGATACTCTTTTCAATGAGTGCTTTAATAGATTGAAGTCATACTTAAATCTTACAGATCCAGAGAACTGCTGAGGTACAGAGAAAAGATTTTGTTCTTTAGATTTCAGAGTCAGTTTGGTAAAGGAAAAGTGGCATGTTTGTGGTAGCTTGCATTAAATTCTCTGGGGAAATGTGAGTTTTTTTTGGTGGGTTTTTTTTTTTAGGAAACCTGAGTTTTCAGTATAGGATTTTTTCTTCCTCCAAAAAAAGAATTTTTAAAATGTATTTATTTTAGCTACTATTTTAAAAATAACATTTATTTTAATTACAGATAACAAAAATACATAGAAAATAGTTTCTATGTATTCTGTGTTCTGATTTTAATTCCTTTTTCTTCAAAATCTTTTTGGAAGAAGTTAATTAGGAACACTATAACTAAATTGTAGGTTGAATAGTGAATATGGTTACTATGAAGAAGTCTACAATAATAGTAAATTTATATCCTGCATCTATATTTTTCTAATTATGAAAGAACAAGTACATTTTAATCTATTAGACTGAAAGAGGTTAAAAAGATTAAGTCTACTATGGCAAAATAAGTCACTCTTATGTTGGGAATGTAACATCTTTTTCAGGGAAATTTATCAATATCTTTTAAAATGAAAAGTGTTCATGCTCTCTAGCCATCATTTTTTTTCTTGAAAAGTATTCTATGACTAACACTAGTGGACAAAGTTATACATAAAAGAATATGTGTTGAACACTGTTTATAATGACATCTCAATTATAAAAAGAAAAATATTACTCTTAACAAAAATATGTGCTTAGTATATATAGAGAAGGAAAAAAATTTAGTGGCATGTGCACCAAACCATTAATAGCATTTGTTTTTGGAACAATAAGATTATAAGAGAAGTTTGCTTTGTCATTTGATTCTGTAACATTGATTATTGTATAATTATTGCATATTATCTTTATAATACAAAAGTAATAAAGTATAAAATATAAGGAGTACACACTTTTTAATATTTGGAAAATATAGAAAAGAATATAAAAATTTTTTTCTTCAAATCTCACTATTAATAAATTTACCATTGTTAATCTTTTTTGTTTTTCTTCTTTCTTGAAATATAAAATATATACTTTACATAGTTGAGAAAGGAGTCTTCTAAATTATGTACCATATATAGTTTTTTATCCTGCTTTTTCAGTTAATATTCAGTGATAAGAATAAATCAGGAAAAACATCCAAAGAATATAACTAATGACTGGCTGTTTATTTTTTTTCACATGCCTATGCCTATTTTGTAATCATTCTATTTTTGGGCATAAAAGCTATTCTCAGTTTTTGAAGATTATAAACAATCCTTCAGTTAGCACATCTTGCTGCATAAGTCTTTGTCATAAATCATGTTTCCTTAGAATAAATTCCAGAAATAAAATTACTGGCTCAAAGAGATTTAACATTTTTAAAACTGTTGGTAGATATTTCCAATCTTACCAGTTTCCATGGCTACTACTAATGTATGACTAGTGATAACCTATGTTCATTTTTTTTAAATGATAGGAGAAAATGGTACTCAAAAGTTTTATTTTTATGTTCATGTGATTGCTAATGATAATGAACTTTTTTTTAATGATATTGAACTTTTAAAATCTTAATTTATGACTGGAATAAGTGATTCACAAAAAAAGGTAAAATGTCCAATAAATATATGCGAACATATTGAACTTTACTAGCAATTAATGAAATACAGTGTAAGATACTATGCTGTTAGAATGGCAAAAATGGACAAGAATGTTAAGAGCCATGCTGGAAAGGTGGGAAAAATACTGGTAGTAGTATAAATTGATAAAGTATTTCTGGAATACAGTTTGTCAATGTTTATCTAAAACTTTAAAATTTGTATGTATTTCTAGAAATTTTATTCCTAATTACAAGTCTTAAGATATCAAGAAATTTAAAAAATGTACTCAGGAGGATGTTTATTCCAAAGTTTTTCACAATAATAAAAATTAAAAATAATCTCGGGGCGCCTGGGTGGCTCAGTTGGTTAAGCGACTGCCTTCGGCTCAGGTCATGATCCTGGAGTCCCAGGATCGAGTCCCGCATCGGGCTTCCTGCTCGGCAGGGAGTCTGCTTCTCCCTCTGACCCTATCCCCTCTGATGTGCTCTCTCTCTCTCATTCTCTCTCTCTCAAATAAATAAATAAAATCTTAAAAAAAAAATTAAAAATAATCTCTAAGTCCACAGTATTACCGATGACATATCTGTGCAACGGAATACTTTATAATCATTAAAAGAAAGGTGCAGAGGGAATCAGTGATTTTTTTTTTTTTTAAGTGCCACTGTGGTCTGTAAGTGAATCCTTAAGCCAGGTTAGTGGCCGGTTATCAGCTTAAAAAAATCAAATAGAATAAAATAAAAGCTATTTGTAAGTGTTATTTCTGGAAACTTATTTCAAATATAGTTACATATACTTAAGGGTCTACTATATCTTAATGTAAAATGTATTTCTCACTATGGTTATGGTAAGAAATATTTGAGAAACACTGGTGTAGAGCTTAATGTTTCATATAAAAGTAGTTCAACCTATACTGCAAAAAAGATCAAGGAAATATATATATATCAGAAAGGCAGGGTATAAAACAGAAAGATTCCTTTTAAATACAAATGTAGGTAGTCGTATGTGAATATACACAAAGAAAATGTCAAAATTGATTTACCCCAAAATATTAATAATGATTGCATCTGTGTAATAAGATTATGGTTTTACTTGTAATTTTTAAAAATTATGAAATAAGTCATTAAATTTACCATGTTATCAACCAACTGAGAAGAAATTATTTTACATGAAATAGGACTAATGGTAATATAGTAGTCACTCATATAAACTAATATGTAATGAAAAGATAATACACAGGTTAGGAAATGCAAATGAATGCTAAACATGGGAAAATGTATAATTTTATCTTTAATTTTTCTCATTCCTTATACAGAGAAGGACAAGCCATTATTTTTGTCATTGATAGTAGTGATAGATTGAGAATGGTTGTGGCCAAAGAAGAACTTGATACTCTGCTGAACCATCCAGGTATATGTGTGTGTCTGTGATATCTGTACTTTAGGGTCTGTTTACATAAGATTTTTTTTGTTCTTTGGTCTTGGCAGAAGATGTTGCTTATTCTATGTAATTATCTCTTATTTAAAATTTTTAATTTTTTTAATTGAAACAACATACAGTGTCATATTAGTTTCAGGTGTACAATATAATGATTCAATAGCTCTCTACATTAATGAATATATTACTCTCCTTTGTTTTTGAATTTTAAAATATAGTAATTATTCAGAATTCATATCTACCTATAGCACCATGTATTTTTTAAATTTCAAAGCTTTTTGCAGTGTTTTCCAGGTCTCTGACCTTTATTTCCCCCAAAATAAAAATGTTCTTCTGATTGCACAAGTAATGTGTGTCAATGGCAAAAAATGAAGACAGGAAAAGAAGAAAAAAGGAAGTAAAAATCCATGTATTTCAACAGTCATTAGAATTATTTTGGTTACCATCTTTTCATACATGTATATATATGATTACACAGCATTTCTTACATATTTATTCTGAGAATTCTTCTAAAACAGATCTTTTCTGTTTTTAAACTCTTAACTGCCAGCCCTACCCTCTTTTCAAGATACCAGTATTAACAATTTGGTATTTTTTTCTCACTGTTATTTACTAAAATGAGATCATATTCTCTACACTCTTCTGCATTTACCTATCCTCAGAGAACATTAAATTATGGAAATCCTTTCAAGTCAAAATGAATATATGTAGTTATTCTTTCTAATATTTTTAATATGGCCTAATGGCCTAATATACTCATATGAGTATATAATATATACCTAATATACTCTATGAGTATACCACCATTTATTCTATTTTACCCTATTATTAGATATTCTTTTTTTTCTCCACAATACAATTCTCCAGTAAGTATTGTGAAACTGCATTTTTAGCTTTACTCATGCGAAGAGATTTAAGTAAGTGGTCTTTGTGCTATGACTTTTAGGAAGAGGTGATGGCTTAAAAGAAGTGTGGATTTGTTAGAAACAGAATGGGAAATAGTGTGGGGCTTTCTAACAGTTCTTCCTGTTTAACCACACTAACTGGTATTTTTATTGAACAACCTTAAGCTTATTCAGATATTTGGGGTAATAATTATCTAGCCTGTACATTTTATGTGACTCTTTCACTTTTAAAAACTTAACAGGCTTTTATCTGGGTTAAGAATGCATTTTTGATTATGCATTCCCTTTGTGTTAATCTTTCCATTTTCTCCTCAAAAACTGTTTTAACGTTGACCAATAAGATGAAATGATTTCTACAAAAATCAGTTTCAAATACAGTGGAAACCTTGGTTTCCTCAACTGAAGCATTGTCCAAGTAAGTTATCTTTATGTACTGATGCATTTATTTTTTGGGATAGATTCCCAAAGGATTTCTCAGCTGAGGTAAACATGAACTTTAAAAATTTTTTAATTTAATTTTACTTTTTTACTGAAGTATAGTTGACATACAATGTTACATTGTTTTCAGGTGTGTAATATAGTGATTTCACAGTTCTGTACATCATGCAGTGCTCACCAGGATTGGTGTAATTACCATCTGTCACCATACAAAGTTAATACAATATTACTGACTATATTCCCTATGCTGTACTTTTTATTTTAGTGACTTATTCATTCTGTAATTGGAAGTTTATACCTCTTAATCCCCTTCACCTATTTCATCCATCCCTCTCACTCCATCCCCTCTGGCAACCACCAATTTATTCTCTGTATTTATGAGTTTTTGTTTTGTTGTGTTTTGTTCATCTGTTTTGGTTTTTAGATTCTGCATATAAGTGAATCATGCTATTTGTCTTTTTCTGTCTGACTTATTTCACTTAGCATAATACTCTCTAGATTTATCTACATTGTCACAAATGGCAAGATCTCATCCCTTATGTCTGAGTAATATTCACTTCAACACCTTCTTGTCTATTGTTCATCTAATGATGGACACTTAGATTGCTTCCATATCTTCCTATAAATAATGCTGCAATACACATAGGGGTGCCTATATCTTTTCAAAATAGTGTTTTTGTTTTCTTGGAATAAATTCCTAGTACTAGAATTATTGGCTTATACAGTACTTCTAAGAATTTTGATTTTTTGAGGAATTTCCATACTGTTTTCCATAGTGGCTGCACCAATTTACATTCCCTTTTCTTTACATTCTCACCAACACTTGATAATTCTTGTTTTTTTTTGATACTAGCCATTCTGGCAGGTATGAGGTGATATCTCACTGTTGTTTTGGTTTGCATGTTCCTGATGATTAGTGCTATGGAACATCTTTTCTGTTTGCCATCTATATGTCTTCTTCAGAGAAATATCTATTCAGGTCCTCTGCCCATTTTTAAATTGGATTATTAGTGTATTTTGGTGTTGAGTTGTATGAAATCTTTATATATTTTGGATATTAATCTCCTATCAGATATATGATCTGGAAATATCTCCTCCCATTCAGTAGGTTGCCTTTTCATTTTGTTGATGGTTTCTTTCACTGTGTAAAAGCTTTTTAGGTTAATGTAGTACCAGTAGTTTATTTTTCTCTTGTTTCCCTTGCCCGAGGAGGCATATCCAGAAAAATGTTGCTACAGCCGATGTCCAAAAGATTACTAAGTCTTCTTATTGGAGTTTTATGGATTTGGGTCTTACACTTAGGTCTTTAATCCATTTTGAGTTTATTTTTGTATATGGTGTAAGAAAGTGGTTCAGTTTAATTCTTTTGCATGTAGCTGTCCAGTTTTCCCAGCAGCATTTATTGAAGAGACTCTTTTCCCATTGTATTTTCTTGCCTCCTTTGTCGTAGATGAATGAGCATATAAGCATGGATTTATTTCTGGGCTCTATTCTGTTTGATTGATCTATGTGTCTATTTTTGTACCAGTACAATACTATTTTGATTACTATAGCTTTGTACTATATTTTCAGATCTGGAATTGTGATACCTTCAGCTTTGTTTTTCTCAAGATTACTTTGGCTATTTGGAGTCTCTTGTGGTTCCATACAAATTTTAGGATTATTTGTTCTATTTCAGTGGAAAATATTGGTATTTTCATGGGAATTGCATTAAATCTGTAGGTTGCTTTGGGTAATGTAGACATTTTAACAATATTCTCCTAATCCGTGAGCATAGTATATCTTTCCATTTGTTTGTGTTGTCTTCACTTTCTTTCATCAGTGCCTTACAATTTTCAGAGTACAGGTCTTTCACCTCCTTGGTTAAGGTTATTCCTAGGCATTTTTTCTTTTTGATGCAGTTGTAAATGGGATTATTTTTTCTTTTTTTTTTTTAAGATTTTATTTATTTGACAGAGACACAGCAAGAGAGGGAATACAAGCAGGGGGAGTGGGCGAGGGAGAAGCAGGCTTCCCACTGAGCAGGGAGCCCGATGCGAGGCTCGATTCCAGGACCCTGGGATCATGACCTGAGCCAAAGACAAATGCTTAACAACTGAGCCACCCAGGTGCCCCTATGGGATTGTTTTCTTAATTTCTCTTTCTGCTGCTTCCTTATTGGTGTATAGAAATACAACAGATTTCTGTATATTAATTTTGTATCCTGCAACTTTACCAAATTCATTTATTAGTTCCAGTAGTTTTTGGTGGAACTTTTGGGTTTTTTGTGTATACTATATCATTTGCAAACAGTGAGTGACAGTTTTACCTTTCCCTGCCAGTTTGTATGCCTTTTATTTCTTTTTCTTGTCTAATTACCGTGGCTACAACTTACAATACTGTGCTGAATAAAAGTGGCAAGAGTAGACATCCTTGTCTTAATTTTAGAGGAAAAACATTGTTTTCCACCATTCAGTATTATATTAGCTGTGGGTTTTTCATATGTGGCCTTTTTATGTTGATGTATATTCTCTCTAACCCCACTTTGTTGAGAGTTTTTTATCATAAACTGGTATTGTATTTTGTCAAATGCTTTTTTTCTGCATCTATCAAATGGTTTTTATCCTTCATTTTGTTAATAGGGTGTATCATGTTGATTGATTTGGTATTATTGAACCATCCTTGCATCCCTGGAATAAATCTAACTTGACCATGATGTGTGATCCTTTTAATGTATTGTTGAGTTCAGTTGGTGATTGTTGAGGATTTTTGCATTTATGTTCATCCAGAAATTTGACCTGTAATATTTTTTTAGAATGTTTTGTCTGGCTTTGGTATCAGAGTAATGCTGGCCTCTTAAAATGAATTTGGAAGGTTTTTTTCCTCTTCTATTTTTTGGAATAGTTTGAGAAGGATAGGTATTAAGTCTTCTTTAAATGTTTGGTAGAATTCATTGGTGAAGCCCACTGGTCCTGGACTTCTGTTTATTGGGAGTCTTTTGATTTTTGATTCAGTTTTGTTGCTAGCAATCAGTCTGTTCAGATTATCTGTTTCTTCCTGATTCAGTCTTGGAAGATTGTATGTTTCTGGGAATTTATCCATTTATTCTAGGTTGTCCAATTTGTTGGCATATAATTTTTCGTAGCAGTCTATTATAATCCTTGGTATTTCTGTGGTTCTTCTTCAGTTCTTCTCCTCTTTCATTTCTGATTGTATTCATTTGGGTCCTTTCTGTCTTTTTTTCTTGATGAGGTTGGCTAAAGGTATATCAGATTTGTTTATGTTGGTTTCATTGATCTTTTCTGTTGTTTAGTCTCTATTTCATTTATTTCCACCTGGAACTTTATTTCCTCCTCCTAGTAACTGTGGGCTTTGCTTGTTGTTCTTTTTCTATTTCTTTTAGGTAAAGGATCATAATGTTTATTTGAGATTCTTTTGTTGTTTCTTGATGTAGGCCTGTATTACTATAAACTCCCTCTTAGAACTGCTTTTGTGAGGGGTGCCTGGGTGGCTCAGTTGGTTAAGTGATGGACTCTTGATTTCAGCTCAGGTCATGATCTCATGGGTCATGGGAAGTGAGCCCTGCATCTGCTTCTCTCCTTCTTCCTCTCCCTCTGCCCCTCTGCCCCTCTGCCCCTTTGCACACACACT